GAAGGTGAAAAAAAAGAAGAGGCAAAGAATGGTAGTAGGAAGTGTATGTCTCTTTGTAGATTTATACGTGTGTGGTTTGTAGCTTTTCATGGGCATATTTGTAGGGAGAGTACTAATGTGCAATGGGCTTCATTAGTCATTACTATATATACACACACAGGTTATGAGGGAAAAAAATAAATAGCAAGCGTTATATTCACTACAAGAATATGATGAAACTCCAGTGAAAAATTTTAACGGAAATATATTCCAAAAGGAATTCCAACGGATATTCCAATCTATTATTTCCATTGGAATTTTTTAAATAGATTCAAACGGAAATTCCAACAAAAATTTTCGTTGGAATAAGTTTTCTATTGAAATTTTCGTTGATTTTGACGATTCAAACTGTACATTTTTCTACGGTTGAAATATGGGTGAAAATTATAATTCCAACAGAAATTGTATATTCCAACGGAAATTCCTAGGGTAAAAATACCGTTAGATAATAGGCGTCGAAATGATCAAGTTCTATCTAAATTCCAATGGAAAACCTCATTCCAACGGATAATTCCGTTGGAATTTTAGTTTGAATCATTACAACGGAAGCTATACCATTGAAATATACTACGTTGCGCCCAGACTTCTACGCCAGATGAAAGTTGTGAACAATGTTGCGCCATACGAGACGCAACACTGTAGCACAACGCTACATTTTTTTTAATTTTTTTTTTGTTTTTGTGTAATATTATTGGTAAATTTTTGTATAATGTGTATTAGTAGATGTACTTTTATGCTAAATAACTTTGTGCAACATATTTTTTATGCTAAATAATTTTGTGGTTTTTTTTATTGATATATTATTTTATTTTGTAATTTTTAATATTAAAATGGTACCATATGAATAAATATTAACAAAAACAGGCATCCTTATATATATACCAATTCATTTAAAATAAATATAAATAAAATACATTTTTATTATTTGGTAGTAAATATTTATAAAAGATTAAATATTCATATATATACCAATTTATTTAAAATAAAAATAAATAAAAAATAATATTTTTGATGTAGAGTAAAATGTAGAGATAAGTGTTGGAAACGAATGTTTCACTTTATTCTAGAATAGAATAGAGTTCGCGCTACAATAGAGATAAGGGGAAAAAAGTTGACGCATAGTAAATTTTTAAAAGTGGTCAAATAATTTTCAAACGTATCAAAAACAAAGTTTAAAAAAATTTAATAAATTAATAATACATAGTGAATAATATATAATTTATAATATATAGTCCATAATTAAAACTTTTAATATATAGTCATCAACCCCCATCCCCCATACACCTATTTGAATTGGCGTGCAAATACGAAAATATCTTATACTGCTACATTAATTTCTATATAAGTTTGTGATGTATAATATCTACGTGAAAACACTACAAGAATGTAGTGAGATTATAACGGAAATATATTCTAACAGAATTTTACTAAAAAATTTAATTAATATTCGAATGTTATTATTTTCGGTGCAATTTTTCAATGGATTCTAACAGAGATGCCAACAAAAATATTCTGTTGGAATGAGTTTTCAATTAGAATTTCTTTTGGATTTTGACTATTCTAACGGTTGAAATATGAGTGAAAATAAAATTCCAACGAAAACTGTATATTCCAACGGAAATTTCTATGGTAAAACCTCATTGAAATAATGACTGTTGGAATGATGAAATTGTATCTAAATTTCAACGGAAAAATCATTCCAACTGAATAATTCTATTGAAATTTTTGTTAGAATTATTCTAACGAAAACTATATCATTGGAATATCTGTTGGAATTTTCATTGAAATATATTATAGTTTAATTTTACGTTGGAATATGATTTTTTTTTTTTTTTTGGTAGTGATAATAACTAGTCCATGTAGATAGTTAGTGAAAATCAATTGAAAAATAGATAATAGTTGGCCCACGGTAGCTAAAATAGGCTTTCTCGGCAAATATCTTGACTTTAAGTTGACTTCTCGTTACAAATTGTTCAACAATCATCCAACACTGCAAGAAAGCTACATCTCTTTTCGTACACCACTAAAACTGTTGGATTATTGTATCAAACTAATGTCAAGTATTGATGACTCAACTACAACCTTAACGGTATATAATTTTGCATTCATTTCCTAGAAATTGTGTAAGAATTCAAAGGATGACTAAGTGTGTGTGGCGTTATCTTGATTGCGCTATTGCACGCATAATAGAGAGTTGAAAGCATAATACATAATGAAGACTATTGGTGTGGCATCATCGGCGTAATTGATGTTAATGTTTTGATTTGATGTTGAACTTCTAAAATGTGTTGGAGCGAAAATCGGTGGTGAGGTCCCTGAGAATAGAATAATTGTTTTCGTCACGTTGCACGTGAAAAAGAAACGGCGGTGGTGGCACCGTGTCAGGTAGAACGAACCGAAATGGGACAAGTCCCCTAAATATTGGGCACATATTTTTCATATTAAGATTTTATTTTTTCGAAAAAAGACCTCACAAAGTTAAAGTGTTGCTCTCAGAATTGTATCTACTTATGGTTATAGTTCTTATACAAGATAATAGACATTTAGGCATTCAATTATGAGATGCCGGAAAAGTTGACGACCATTTTCCTGGTTGAACGTGAACAAGAGAAAGGACGGTCAACAACCCGACTTCCCACAATTGAATGCCTAAATGCCTATTAAAATGTCTAACAATTATGACAATTAAGTGCATGCAGTTCAGAGGGTAATAAGTTAACATGGTCAAGTATTTTTATGAGAAGAAATCATGAGGTTTAAAACCATGTTCCCAATATTCGAGAGAATTGTCCCATTATGGTTCGCACTGTCAGACACGACTCACCACCATCGTATTTATTTTCACGTGCACTGTGGCGGGAACAACAATTCTACTCTCAGGATCCTCGGCATCGATTTTTGCTCCAACACATTTTACAAGTTCAACATCAACTCAAAGCAGTAACATCAATTACGTCAATGATGTCACACCAATAGTCTTCATCATGTATTATGCTTCAATTCTTTATTACGCCTGCAATAACACAATCAAGAGAGCGCTCACACATACTTAGTCATCCTCTGATTTCTTACACAATTTCCAGGAAATGAATGCAAAATAATATACCGGTAAAGTTGCAGTTGAGTCATCAACATTTGACATTGGTTTGATAAATAATCCAACAATTTTAGTGGTGTGTGAAAAATGGGTTGTAGCTTTCTTGCAATGTTGGGTGATGGTTGAATATTTTGTACGCTGTCAATGATGCTAACTTCGACATTCTTCATTATGACACATGCGTCAGGCCATTAACAAAAAGAACATTACTTGAGACTGTGTATTGGAGTCGGATTGCATGATGACCTTAATGAAACTCAAGATAATGTTGAATTAACCGATGAGGAGAAAGTCTTGATAAAGAAGAATAGACGTCTTGCAAATATTGATATGAAGAAGAAAGAAGTTGAACTGCGTAAAGTTGAACTGAAGAAGATCATACCTGAAACTGAAGATCTTGAACCTTGTGTATGGCTCAAGAGGTTGTGATGGTGGAGTGCTTGTTTCGAACAATTGGTACACAACAATCAACGCATTCGAAGTTTCAGTACACGTACGTACTTGATGGAAGGAAGGACACGTTTAAACTGAGAATGAGGTGTAGTTTAGTAGTTATTTTATTTTGCGTTTTTATCATTATTAAGAAATATACAAAAATGTTTTACAATCTTATTACTTTTTTTTGTAATTTGACTTATACAACTCACTTTAAAATATAATTTATTAATTTAAAAACAAACCTAAATATCACCACCGGGCTGGGTCGTTTTTTATTAAAAAACCGAGACCCAAACCCGAGACCAGCCAGGGACAGTTAAATCTAAAACTAACACAACCCAGACTCAGCCCGGCAGGACTCAGGGTCCGTTTAAAAAACCAGGATACCCAGGCCGGTTCACCTGGCAGGGTCGACCCTTGGCCACGTCTCAAGTCTGGTCGGCAGATCGGGTAAACGAATTACCCGTGTCATCTTTTATGTCCCCTTTGCAGACGAAAACCTATACTGGAGCTCGTTTCTCCCATTTCCGGATATATAGCTCGAGCACACCTCAAATCTCCGGCAACAAGACTGTACATTATGGGGCTGGGCCAACTCGCTTCACGAGCCCTCATCAGATCAACACGACTCGCCGCCACCAAACCCACTCACCTCGCCCGCCGCACCATCAGCTCCACGCCGGACCTCCACAACGCCGAAGCCGCTGCCGCGGCGGCGCAGCCGGAACCAGATCTCCCCAAGCGGAACCCGGTGGCCGGCGCTCGGGTTCACTTCCCCAACCCAGATGACGCCATCGAGGTGTTTGTTGATGGGTACCCCGTGAAAATCCCCAAGGGGATGACAGTGCTGCAGGCTTGCGAGATTGCTGGCGTGGATATCCCGCGGTTTTGCTATCACAGCCGCCTCTCGATCGCCGGAAACTGCCGCATGTGCCTGGTTGAGGTTGAGAAATCGCCCAAACCCGTGGCCTCGTGCGCCATGCCTGCACTACCCGGTACACTACTCATTTTTGTTTTTGAAGTTTTAGCTGGAGATCGGAGTTTGGGAATTAGGGAGATTTCTGTTTTGGCTTGTTTTGCAGTGTTGTATTGGAGCTTTTTGTATATTTAATGGGAAATCCTCGTTGATTAGCTTATAGTGGACAATGCCTTTTACTGGTGATATCGATCAGTTAGATAATATTCATCGAACCTAGTATTTTCACGCTGTGAAATCACAATTTTATTATATTGCCATTGTGATTGATCCAGGATTTAGTTCTTGCTACTGCTGTCAAGTAAAAGACTTCATTTTTAGTTATACTTGTTGTAGAATTACTGGAAAGGATCTCTTCCGGAACTGAAACAATTGTATATAATCTTACGAAAGTTACCTTCTTTAGATTTCCAGTAATAGGAACTTATAAATTTGACATCTTGATGTTTTTTTTGGATTTCATGGGAACATGTCTTGTTAGAGGCTTGGGTGGTGCTTTGGAAATATATTGGCTTGAGGTATCTGTATGGTGATCTTGTTTGCTCTCCGCATCAATTGTGCAAAGGATTAATGCTGCTCCCCTTGTTCTTAGTCTCATATTTTTCGTACTTATTAATCTTTCTTTTGAATTATTTGGATTTTTTTACTGTCCCTGTCAATAGGAATGAAGATTAAGACTGATACACCTCTAGCTAAGAAGGCAAGAGAGGGAGTGATGGAGTTTCTTTTAATGAATCATCCATTGGACTGCCCAATTTGTGATCAGGGTGGGGAGTGTGATCTTCAAGATCAGTCCATGGCGTTTGGTTCTGATCGAGGGCGTTTTACTGAAACGAAGAGATCAGTGGTTGACAAGAATCTTGGGCCCCTGGTCAAAACGGTGATGACTCGATGCATTCAGTGCACAAGGTGTGTATCTATTTTCATGTGTTAGTTTTGCATCTAAGTTAGTGTTTTAAGTTGCTGATAGCAGGGTATGGTTATGAATTCAGCAAAGTGTCTTTTCCTGTTCGGTCGAGCTTGGTCCACTACTCCACTTACTTTATTCCAACCTTATAGAAAACTACTGATGGTAACACCTAATCAAACCAGACTAAGGTGTGACATTATCTCTCAATCTATGTTTGGGGTGATGTTGGATCACCAAAGTGACTGTTCCTGGTTTCGTTTTCAGTTTAGTTTAATTATCAAAGTGTTGGCTGATAGTGGGTTGTCATACATGTCTTTACGCGATTTCAGTTGAGTTGTTAGCCTAAAATAATTGATTTTGTAATTTTGTATTAAACAAAAGTGTCATGCGGTTCAGTCAAGAGTTCAAGTTCATGCGAACCTATTTGAAATTTTGTTCCTCTGTAGCACAGATAGTCTATGGAATGCCATCTTTCATTTTTGTTTTACATCTAGTACCGGGAGGTGGGGGGAGGTTTGTTGTTCCGAACTTCAGTGTAGTTATAATGTAATAGAGGTTAAATTAATTGGTTCACAATAAATATTAGTAGTTCGCCCTCCAAATTTAAAGTTAACTAATTCTAAAAAGTAGTTTAATAAAAAATGCCATTAATGTTTTGTAATATGCTTGTTGTTCTCTTGTCTGTGTTATCGACCTGCCAGTTCCTTTTGACATATGTAATTTTGAAGATACACCTTGTGTAACTAAATGAGTATCAATAGCACTCAATCATGTTTGTAATGTCCATGCCCGGCAAATAGGTGTGTAAGGTTTGCAACAGAAGTAGCTGGTGTTCAAGATCTTGGAATGTTGGGTCGTGGTAGTGGAGAGGAAATTGGAACTTATGTTGAACGGCTAATGACAAGTGAATTGTCTGGGAACGTGATAGATATTTGTCCTGTAGGAGCCCTGACCTCAAAACCTTTTGCCTTTAAAGCCCGTAACTGGGAGCTGAAAGGAACTGAGAGCATTGATGTAACAGATGCCGTTGGTTCTAATATTCGCATTGATAGTAGAGGTCCTGAAGTCATGCGTGTTGTGCCTCGATTGAATGAGGTAACCTTCTTTGATTCATTATATTATTTCAATCCTAGATTTTAGTAAAATATTCTGTTTTACTGGATATTAGAAAATTCAGTCATGTTCTTTTCCAGTTTTTGTCGGTTGTGTTCCTTCTAAAAATTTGTTGATCCTGACCTGATAATTATAGCATCTGTTAGGTAACGTAAGTGCTAGAATATCCATTAGCCAGGCTATCCTTGTCCTTTCAGATGTCCAATACACCGAAGTGTTCGATTCTTTATATTTGTTGTTTTTAGGATTTAGGAAGTATTACATGCTTTTCAGTTTCCATTACCAAAAATTCATTCTTCAATCTGCAAAACTAGCTTGTTTCAACTGAGGTTGTGTATGGATACACGAACAAACAGAATAAGCGCAAAAAGAATTAACAGTAAACTTAAAAGAAGGTTCACACAATTGCGGAAGCTAAATTCTTCAAAATGAACCTTCAGGAGAGCGTCTCACTCTCACTTCGGATCTCTTTCATTAGTATAGATCTTCCAGCCATTTACCAAGGATTTACAGTGCAAACTCCCTCTACACTCGACTTGATACTGCCACCTACACAACTACTTATCCGACCACAATTCCCTTGTGGTTTTTCGAGTTTGAATCCCTCAAACTATACTAAGTACTCCTCCCGAACACTTAGTTCACTTGAAACAAATTAATCCCTTAAACGTCATTGAGAACACTCTCTCAAATCACCACTCAATAAAAATAACCGACAAAATTCTTGAGAGATAGGAAGAAGATGATTAATCGAACACCTTCTCTTCATAGCCGTACAACCACTTTTATCTCGTTCTCAAATATGGTAACTTCTGGAAGTTTTCGCTGCCAAGCCACACTCAAGAAGGTAAGTTCCTTGATTTACTCTGAGTTATGGAAAGTTTGGACGTGCATCTTTTGATCCCTCAATATGGTAAGTGCGTCCATGGAGTCATATTTTCCAATCCTGCACAAGTAATTAAACCAATCAAATAATTTCAAAGAATATTTGAAGTATTTAACCGAACAAATAAAATAAGTATTTCCCTTAAATATTCAGTCACCCTACTTCCTGGGACAAATGAATGTTCGTCGATTTACTGCCAATCTTTGAAAACTTGCATCAACTATCTCGGATTCAACTATAGCTGTACTTTGGCCAAATTGCAGTTTTTGTTGTTTTGTATAATCTGATTAACCGGACATTTAGCAAAGCATCCCCAACACATATCCTACAATTTTAACTTGATTCTGAGGGTCTCGAATAAATATTATATTATTATACCACTTCGGTTACTGGAATGATTAGATGCCGACAACCTTTTAACATTTTTTAACCACAAGCTGGGTATAGGTATTTGTGTAAAAAAAAAAAAAAAA